GGATCGCCGGAGGTTTTCGGTGGCGCTGTCGAAAGCAGAAATCGAAGAGGATTTCTACGGGATAGTGGGTCACCGGCCGGCGCGGAGGCCCAAAAAGAGGGCAAGAATTGTTCAGAGACAATTGGATGTAAGTAATATTCACATTAAATTTGCCATTTTATTGCATCAATACGTCATTATTTGTTTGTTTATTTAGTGGGATTGATTTTTTGGGCAGACATTGTTTCCTGGGCTGTGGTTGAGAGAGGTTACAGCCGATATGTACAAAATCGATGAAGCTGCTCCATGACAAAACATAACATAAAATGGTGAAATTTTCGGTTTAAAGGGGTCTCTTTCTTCATCACAAAAAGGTGGTTAGTTTTGAAATGTATCGTTAGACTTTGGATTATTTAGATTAGAAAGAAAATTATGGAATGCTGATTTTTATGTTGTTTTCCAGAATAAGTGCTCGATTCTTGTTTTTTTTATCTTAGAAAAGTATTTCAACAAAATGATTCGATTTTTTAAGTATAGGTTTCGCGGAGGTTTGTTTGCCTCTTTCTTGTTATCGTTGTATGCAAAATGCAATAATAATTTTATATGTGCATTTTTCATTCTCTATGTAAGTTCTTCTCCAGTTACGCTGACCAACACATTCTTTCTAAATATATATCTATATATATAATTGTATTGAAAACTATCATACTAGAAAGTAATATAAATAGAGGTATGATATTTGAAAGTATAAATACATATATTTGTTTGTGGAGTATGATGAATTAATTTGTCAAACAATTAAACCGTCTCACACAAAAATTTATTTTTTGTAGCATGAGTGTATTGTTGGTCAACCGTGTAACTTAGAGCACCCACAATGCTTTGGGTCTCTTAGAAAAAAATCACATGTCATGTAGAAAATAGACATAGTCTATAAAAAAATGTTTCACAATGCAATTAAAAGTGGACATAGTATAATTTATGTGGCACTAGAAAAAAGAGACTAAGTCCACACTTGGGTCTATTTTGGACCCAAATGCAAACCCACCTAATCATTAATTGTTCACAATTTTCTTTTTCTTTTTAATAAGCAAAACACATTATTTTTTGTATGCATTTATTATTACTATATTTTTATTGGTTATTTAGTATTCTAGACCTAGTACTTTTTTGTTTTGTATTGGATAGATTTTAGATTTTTTAGCTTGGGTTTGTCCATGTCATTATGGACTTAAGTCTATTTATTTGCCACATATGCAAAAAGAGACCCAAAGCATTGTGGATGCTCTTAATATCAATCTTACAACTTCAAATAAATACACAATTTTAGAATGAGAATGTGAGACTCAATCTTAGTTATTGATTTTGCGTGGATCAATAGCTCATATTAATCAATTAAAAATACATTAATTATATAATAAAAATAATTATTATTTTATTTAAATGAATATATATAATAAAACTAATTATATAATAAATTAATAACGAAATGTATTTTCCTAGACGGCGGCCAACTGCCGGCGGCAGGCCGTCCGGCGGTCGTCCCCATTTTTTCGGAAGGGCGTCCTCTTAGCGTCTTCGTTTTTTCGGCTATCCTCAGCTCGACCATTCCAACTGTTTTTCAGCTGTTCAAGGATGGCCTCAGCCCGCCGCAGTTGGTCGCTCGTCCCAGTTTTTTCGACTGTTCGATGAATCTCTGTCGTCCGCTTTCCACGACAGTTCAAGGGCGTCCAGATCCACGTCGTGGCCGTTCGTTCCAAGGCGAATACTGTATGCATCTTCGCCTTCACCGTCGTGCCCGAGTGGTCTTCCATGCCGGTCGTGCTATTTTCAGCTTTTGGGTCGGGTTCTGCAATTTTTCTGGTAAGGCTATTTCAATTGTTGGGTTGTGTTGTTTTCTGCGATTTTTCCAGGAGGAGGCGTGCTGTTTTCTGTGGTTTTTCCAGCGTGAGAAGATGAACGGGCAGAAGCGCGATGAAGAAGATGACTACAAAATTTTGGGTGAATTTTGCGCGCGAATCTGTTCGGCGTTTCAATTTCCTTCCACAACAAAAATGGTGATGACGTGGCTTGACCGCGCATCGCACCACATTATAATTTAAAGTTTTCCTTTATCAACTTTTACCAACTAGCAGTAGTGAGTAAGGGTCGAATCAACGGGGAGTGTGAAATTTAGTTGCAATTATTTTTCTTTTAATTGAAATACTAAAATATAATAAAAGGGGGTTTGGTATGAATTTATTTCTACTAAGAATTATGGACAATGAAATAAAATCAAATGCAGCAAATAAAGATGATTAATTAAATAAATGATGAAGTTTCTAGTACACGGTTCTATCTACATCCTCGACCGACTTGTCTAATCAATTTTAGTATCAAATTTTGTTATCTTATAGAATTACTAGCTTTATGTAACAACACGTTTTGCTACCCGAATTTTTTCTTATTTTTAATTTAACGTGACACGCTCTACGATTAAATCTGACTTTTTGTACAATCTAGGAGACTCTCTCTAGCGTGACGGCTTTTTTTTTAGAGTAATGCTACATAGCCTACTTAGATGACAACTTGGATTACAACTCAATTATAAATGCATTATTTTTTAATTTTTTGATAATACAATTACACTTGTGTTGTAACCCAAGTTGTCATCCAAGTAGGCTAAATAGCATTACTCTTTTTTTTTATGTCCCCACAAGTAAGTCCCTATGTTTGTGAATAGCCCAAGACTCCACGGCTCCTTTCCGCAATTAATTGTATATTATGATCAAATTTCAGCATTTCATAAACTGCACTTGAAAATTCTTCCAAAAAGCTTAATTGATTCAATTCTTGGACATTAGCCCAACTCAAACACTTTGGCCCAAGAAAGGAGGTGGGCCTCGTAAGTGGACCTCGATTTTACTGCACTGTGGGCTGGATTGATGGGTATTGGTCTGATAACTGATAACTTGATTTTCCGTCCGATGTTGCACATCACATAATACTCGAATGTGCTGAAAAATAATACATAAAACATCAAAGCAAATAAATCTATTTAAATAATAAATAAGTCGAAAAATATAACGTGTAAATAAATTAGGTGTAAAATACACTGTTAAATATATAAAACGTGCACATTTTTCGACCTCACAAATCTCCGCAAACTTAAACAGATGTTTGTCCCCAAACAACTTAAAACTAAAAGCACATAGATGGACCAACAATAAGTACATAGAATATTTGCTCAAAGCCTCACACTTCTCACATAAATACATAATTCAAACAACTCAAATTAATTTATCTGGACTCAAGACGAATTTATTATAAGAACTCAAACACATCAAGTATCAATTCAAGTGACCACCATAGTTTATCAATCATATAACGAACGCATCGATTAATGCAACTAATGACACCTCTTTCTTTCCTAACATGTCTAGTTTCTTTCTGTTTCTAGCCGAAGTCTAAATGTTTCATTCTCCATTTTTTTCTCTTTTTTTTTTTTAAGTTGGGAACGACATCTCCGTTAACAACCCGTGAGTTTTAGCCTTTCGTGCTCGTCTAGATACGAAAATTATTGGATTTATGCACTAGAGCCCGCACGGATTGATAGTTGTTGCAGCCAATAGCGCTTTTTTTTTTCGTAACAAAAAGATTTTCAACTCCACCAATTATTCTACAACCTTCAACTTAATTATTCCGTCATTTTTTTTTCGACTATGAGACCTAGAAGCCCCAACTTTCAACTTCAAGTCTCCAAACTTAATCAACATCGATTAAGACAATCATAAGAACATCTCAACAATACAAATCGCCTCAAAACAAACTCACCACAAATAAGTCACAAAAATATCAACCATCATGCATTTGTCCCCAAAATAAAAACACCTCAAGAATTTAACCAAATAAAGTTAATCAAGCCATTTAAACTAGCATAATAAATCCAAATCAGCTCTCATGTCATCATTGCAAAATTCCACGTACATGCAATCTCACATTCACACACGACAAACAATATCATGCGAATCTACGAACTCAAACTCTAAGGGGCATAAATATAATCACATAATAAAACATGAATGCTCAACAAGAAGTACCTCCCCAAACTTAGAGTTTGCATATAGCATTGACACTCAAATAAATACAAAAGAACAAAAACAGAGGTAAAAGAAACGAGTTCACCTTAGTCAATGCGAAAGAAGTCGCCGAACTACGCACACCATTGAGTTTCCTCCCAACAAGCGCCTCTTTTTATTTTCGTTGGCCCGACTTATTACTCTCTTTCATCAAAGGATCCATGGCGGCTTCAGAGGTGGCCTCGAGGGAACCACAAATTTCATGGCACTATGTTCAGTGAAATTCCAACTTCGCGGTGTTGGATTCTTCACCGGATCTTTTCTCCATGATGGTAACTCCTCAAGGATATCTAGCAGCCTGCGCTCATTCACGGTCACCATCTCACCAAACTCCCATTTGCACCTTACGTTTGTCTCGATCGTCTCAAGATAAGGTATATGAAGGCCCAAGACATGATTCAGTGCATCCTTACTTTCATATTGGAAGACATAAGACACGGTTCAGCTTCTACTGACACAAAATCGGGAAAAATAGTACGCTTTTTAGCTCCAGTAGGTTGAGTATGGGGTACCCCCATATCTGCTGCTCAGCCCCATTTTCCAAAGTTTGATTTTCTTTTTGCGCTCTCTTTTTTTCTCGATATTCGTGATTTTATCGTTATCCAAATCGTATGTGCACTCTTCAAGTTCTTCGAGGTCCTCGCTGCACGAATAGATTACGCTTGAACTCATTGGACTCATTTTTAGTCGATACTAGTCGGTCAATTTATTCTGCCAACTGACTCATTTGGCCTTCTAAATTCTTGATGCTTAGTTCTTGGCTCTTGATGCCCATCTCTTGGCTCTTGATGCTTACCTCAACACCTTGCTGAAAGTTAATGGTTTGAGTCATTATTGCCTTCATCATATCCTCGAGCTACGGACTGGGATCTTTTTCAATTGATGGATCGGAGTACCAATGGAAAGAGTTCGAGTGCTCTCTCAAACCGTAATTCATACTCATCTCGATCTCCGTCCACGGGTCTCGTATATTTCTCTCATACTGCCTAGGCATGGGTATAATAATAATGAGGATAGGCTGCCATTCTCGAAAAGTTGCGCCAAGCTCGCCAAAATCACCCAAAGACTAGTCAATCCCGCGAGTATGGGGGCACCCAGTATTCTGCAAGAAAATAAAAGGAAAGAACAAGGAAAAGGGGGTAAAAGATGATAAAATAAAATCCTAAAAATAAAACTTAAATAGCACTCAAAA